CCCCCCCCCCCCCCCCCCCCCCCCCCCCCCCCCCCCCCCCCCCCCCCCCCCCCCCCCCCCCCCCCCCCCCCCCCCCCCCCCCCCCCCCCCCCCCATCTACGGCTGGCGTACAAGAGACGGGAAAACGTGTATTTCTATCACCACCAGCGCACAAGAGGAGTACTTGGGATTTGGGGTCCTGTCCAGATTTCGCAGGCACATGGCAGACACGAGGGGAGGGTTCACGGGGCTGGGGCCACGCGGCTCACCATACTTCACAATGGCACCTCTTCAGGACATATCTGCGTTTCCTGTGCATGTAGCGGTTTCGCATTTTCGGGGGGCGTGGCTCCTCTCGAACCTGGATCGGCCAGACAAGTATACCTGAACTCTCGCTCACAACAGTCAGCCCTGTGAACATACATGTACGCCGAGGCGCGCGCGGTGGCGTCTCCTCGCCTCGCTGACTCGAGGGCCCCCGTCCCACCCCCATGCTCAGCGTGGTTGGCTGCATAGGCTGTCGTCCCAATGTGATGAGAGTCGGTGTGTCGTCTGACGACGGTGATTCTATCCGCGGCTCTGCCCGCGGAGACGCGTGGACTGGAATAGAATACAGGAAGTGGGAGATGATAGTGAGCGAAGGGGTCGGACTGCATATGCTGTGTTGGGCTGGGGAGGGATGTGCGCGGTGGGTTGTACTGTGATGAGCTGGCCGTCTCTATCTTGCTGCTGGCGTTGTCATCCTACAGTGAAAGTGAGAGTTACTGATCTATTTTCAGCCGTTATCTTCAAGTGTTAGGGCCTAAGACTGATATTCGTAGGGACGTATGGTGACGCTTCTGGTCTTTGCAGGCCTGTCCCTTGCCCGACGGTCGACCATACACTCTCTTTACACACTGCTGATGTGCCAGAGAGCTCCCAAGATAGTAAATGTACATCCACGTCATATCTGACCGGCGTGCTGATCGTCGACGCACCCTTGTGCATGTGCAACAGGGTCCCGGTGATGCTTACTCGGGCCCGTAGTCGCTGGACCAACATGGCGACTTGGAGACTCCAGTACACATACGTGACCGTGTCTGAATGTCGATGGACGACGTAGATAACGTCTCTGAGTCTAGCGCCTTGCCTAGGGCTGAATGTGGCATTGAGGACCCTGGGTCAAGGGAGACCACGATTAGTCCCAGCCTTGTTGCCGCATCTGGTAGATAGCACTCCAGAGTTGAAGTCAATGTACTTCTTTCTTTCTACTTGACATCCTTTGAAGCACATATCTCCGTCAGGGCTCTTTTTGCTCGCAACTGGTCACCATTTGGGATTGCCAGAAATGAGCACGTCCACGCGCATTGCTTCATGACGACCCCGTCTCTAGACTACATTTGTCATTCTCCGTCAGCAACACCTTCTAATCGCGGTGTAACCGCCCCACGTCATTCTAAAGTAGCTTGTCCTCCTTATAGCAAGGCTTGTTATAACTAGCGCCAACACCTTACGCGGTCTCGCTGCCTCTTTAGTCGTCGGATGTAGGGCCGTCGACGGCAGTCTGCAGAAGGACGGCTCGGAGACGGGAGGCTGCATCTGGAGCGGGTGAGGCGGGTTTGTACAGGAAGAGAGGAGAAAGAAAACTGTAGTCTATGAGGACTCGAGAAACTGTGGGACTGTCAGTGAGCCAGGTAAGGCTCGAATCAGAGGCGAGAATCATGCGTGTCGTATGAACCTCGATACTCATATCACAGCCACCCTATCGGATGTGCATGTAGTATAATGCAGTACTACTGTAGCTATGCTGATGCTGCTTCTCCAGGCAGATAATTACGCTATGACATCCGCCCGAGTTTCTGCAGTTGGCCTGCTTTAAAGGGGCACCAACCTAGATGGACGGATTCGCCTTTCTTTTGACATCTCCAGACACTTGCGAATGGCTTCATCATCAGACGCATACTTATTCCACGACAACATCCTCATCACCATCCAAATCTGTATGTCTCTTACACTGACCCATCGCGGGATAGCGTCGTATGTAGTTCCTGAAGATAACTTCCCCATTCGGGTTGGGCTGCCCGGCGCAGCCGTAGATTCATGACTCTCCCCCCCACTTACCTGATCGGTGTTTTACCTTTTCTCGAAGGTTGCCGCAACGGTCAGAAATGCTCAAAAGGGAAAAAATATCTCGTTCGTGTAAGTCAATTCAAGTGATTGCGCATTATAAAGACTCCATGGTCGGCCAAAGCAACGCAAGATACCCCGCGCGAATATCTGCACCAAATTTCCCATCCCAGTTCCTCCAGCCGTCCGTATCATGCCTTCATGCGCCGTCAATCGCCCCATCGTCTTTCCCTCGTTGTTCACCCGGTTGTCGCAGGTGTCTTGGCTGCTGCCATTGAGAAACCCTGAGTTGACGCTGGATGCGCAAAAAGGTCGAAAGTTTCCCCATTCACCAAGCTGCCCTTCCATGGTGAGCACGCCCGGCCATCGTGCTAACAAACGCTTACAAAGAAAGAGCTGGAAAAAAAAAAGTAGGACAGAAGTAAAAAAAGACGAGACGCAAGGGGGGTTCGTGAGTGTCAATAGCTTCAGCGGCCCTGTCACGCCTAGAGACGTATGTCAGGCTGTGACTGGGTTGCCGAGGCTTGAATATAAAATGTGCTAACGCCTCTCAAACGCCTGAAGTGATAGCCATGAGACTCAACTGCCTCGAAGGGTTCATTGTCTTCCAGCAAATCTCGTTGCTCAAGACTGGTGGTGACCGCTGGGCGGCATGCCAGGCTGCTGAGGCATACCGGACCCATACGGCTGATTCCTCTGGACGTAGTTCTGGTATGCCAGTGCCTGCTGCGGGTCCATGGGCATGTTAGGCGGCATGTAGTTGCCCGCAGGCATATGGGGGTTTTGGGGCATGCCAGCGCGGCCGCCTTGGGGAGGCATGTGCTGGGGCGCAGGTTCTTCGGGGGAGTCAACCTGGTCGGCGCCGTCGACACCTCCCTCGTTGCCGTTGGCGGGTTCGGGAGCGTTCAAACAAGCCTGCGTCGACCTTTAACATTTGCGATCAAGTTGCAAAGGGCTGGCGCGGCGCATGGCGCACTGGGGCTCGACGTACCTGAATGAGGTTCTTGCCCTCTGCCTTGGTGACAAGTGGCTGCAGTTTCGGGGTCGTAAAGGTGTAGACAAGGCCCGTCTCGGACACAACGAGGAGAAGAACTTGGGTACCGGTAAGGACGGAGAGTTCGTAGGCCTATTGAAGCAATCAGGTGTCAGTCACAGAACAGTACGCAATGCAGGTTGGTGCGACAGGAGCAGCCCGTCTACAGGTCCGTCTCGCGACGCGACACGAGGGGAGGCGGGAGGGGTGCGGTGACTGACCTTCTTCATGATGCCGGCCTTGCGCTTGGAGAAGGTAATGTGGCGACGCGACTTGTCGTTGATGAACTTTATCTCAATCTTGCGACGCTCGCGGTTACCCTTCTCGTCATCGTCGTCGTCGTCGTCGGCTCCCGCGCCGCGCTGACGCTTCACGCCGCGGCTCTCTTGAGGGGCTGTCGCGCCATTGCCTGCCTCGTCGAGCTCGGGCTGCGAGGTCTGGTCGTGCTGGTCGGTAATGTCGGCCATGTTGGTCCAAGGACGGGAATGTCTTGTCGTTCTGGGCGATTTCTTGATTCAGTCCAATCCAATCGTCTGTATCACACAGAGCAGGCTGGAAAAGGCAAAAAGTGGTGGAGATACTGCTTTGAGCGTGGTGCCGATGGATCTATACTGAATCTGGAGTCGAGGGCGGAGAGGAGGGACATGGAGGGAAGTGCTGCCCTTTCTGTCATTCTGTGGCAGAAATCAGCTGTGGCGGTAACGGGCAGGAGCGAATGGGCAAAAGGGCCGTGCGCCCCGTTCGCGAGCGAGGGACTCGGCTCACTTTTTGCCTTTGTTTGGCCGCTAGCTCACGGCTGTGCCAATCAAACGCGTCAGAGACCGGATGCCCCTGCTGGATAGCAGCAGCATGCTGGAGAGCACTTGCACTGGTGCGACCTTGAAAGAGGGTCAAGGCAGGAGCGACGGCAGTCATTCGCTGGTGGCGCTTCTATACAGTAATAACTCACACTGTAAAGACAGTGCAGATCCTCATCGCGCTTTGAGGGTGGGAAGTGTTGTGAGCCGAATCCTTCCATCACCGCTACAATCTCAATTGTGATTTGGAGATACGCACTAAGTTAGGGCGGAGACTATAAAAAAGACCACGAGTGTGCCGGTAGCTCTGCGTCGCATCCTGTGCAATGCAAGCACAGTCGCGTCCAACTTGGCCACCGTGCGAGCGACAAGCTTTCGTCAAGAGCAGGAGCGGACCCGCTGTCACGAACTTCCCCAGCTGAACCCTCCGGCACGTCCTCCACCAAGATCTGGATGATTGAGAACGAATACATTGCCATGAGCTGGCGGAAATTGGTGCTCAATCCAGGGCAACACTTCCCAATACCACCTCTTACAAGTACCTTTCGTCAGCCACTGGCACCAGACCTCACTTGAATGTGTCCTCTGGCCGATCTTGTGTGAGGGCTTCCAGGATGCAATGATGCATGGCGACGGAGTCGACAGGAGGGCCCAGAAGGACATCGGCACGGTGCCCCTCAGCTGGGGTGATCCGTGCGCCAACTCCCACAGCGGCAAGAGTCGCATCGCCCCGTTGTCGCTCCGCGTATCATCTTCATCCCAAGCTCCAAGTTACGATGAAATGCTTGTATAAAGATTCCTCCCATCAAGGTTGTCAGATGGCAATGGCGAACTCGACTGCAGGCGGGTCGTAAGTTGACACCATATCGGAGGCAGCCGTTGCTCTGGTGACACGTGTATGTCGCGACTGTGGCATACATTCCAGTCCTATCTCAGCCTCAACAACACAAAGTGTCCAAATCAGCACAACAGGCGAGTGTGCTGTCACCAATGTGCTTGGCGTCGCCAAGCCACCTTCAGAAACTTCCTGCGACGACAGTCTCGCGTCACACCATGAACATCTCGCGCAGTGGCGAAGCATCAAGTACTGGAGCTGGTCTCAGACTGGCCATAAATGGACGAGTTCGGCGAGTTTCCGCATGGCACAAGACACGTGAGTTCTGGTCATGAAGCCTCCACTTGATTTGGCTCATACATAGATATTGCTAGCATAATAATATGCCCCTTCCCCTGATGGGCGTAGAAGGCGATCACAAGATTTCCTGACAACGTGCATGCGTCCGTCCGTTGGGAACATCGCAGGTAGTCGAGACAGGGCTGAGGTTTGACGGCGTGGCCGCTATGACTCAGAGTATTATCCAACACGTCACACCAGGATCTGTTGCTTTGCACACAGAGACGGCCAGTTGTGTCAAAATGTCACATTGGGTGCAAGTTGCAATTTGACCAGGCCGTTGAATTTGTGAACCCTGAATAACTACCTACTCACCCCTAAGGAAGGGTGCGATTGTTGCTAACTTCTCACATGTTTCGGTAAACTCCCTTTCAGCATGAGATTGGGATATGACTCCAGCACCTGCCTGGATCCATTGACGATGCTGGTCTTGAAAGACAGAACGAAGCACCAAAGTTGCCTCAAAATCGTTGGATGCTGGATCCATCATAATGATTCCGCCAGAATAGAGCTCCCTTGGAGAGGACTCTAGAGATCCAATGACCTTCAAAGCAGCTTGCTTTGGAATACCCGAAGCCGTGATAGAGGGGAAAAGCACATTCAGAGCATCCCAGACATCTTTGTTGCTCTGCAACTTGCCGGCCACCGCCGAGCCAAGGTGTTGTACCTTACCTCGTGTCCGTACCGACATGAGGTCTTCTACAACCACGCTTCCCTGGCAGCATACCCGTTCCAATTCGGCAATAGCCTCTTTGACAGAGACAATGTGCTCGACGATCTCTTTGGGGTCACTCTCGAGTTCCTTTTTGAGCCTTTCGCATTCGGCCCGGTCATCGCAGCGGGCGCGAGTACCGGCCAATGGCTCGGTTGTGACCTTTCCTTTGACGACGGAAAGAACGAGCTCGGGACTGAATCCAGTTGATTGATAACCGGAGTAACTGAAAGAGAAGCTTCGTTTGGGCGTGTTCGACTTTCTTCCAACGAGCAGAGCGGCCAGCATGTCAACCCTGGTTGGTAGGTCCACGGTGCGCGAGACAATAACCTTGGTGATCTGGCGATCTTTGATCTTGGAGAGTGCTTTGTTGACGATCTCGGTGTACCTTGCTGCTCCTTGTAAGACGTCCGTGGCCACAGCGTCCTTGGGCGGTATCTTGATGTGCGTTGATTTGAGTGATTGGACGACATCGTGGAAGTCCTTGTCGTCCTCGCCTTGCACCGTGATCTCATCAGGCCCAACAGTAATCTGATAGCGAGGTACCACCAAGTGAAGCAAAGGCCACCTTCCAGGAGAGTACGATGTACCCCGAACATGAGAGGCATAGTTGTATCCAACATATCCGAATACTTTGAATCCGGCGTGTGCATTGTCCGCCACAAATTCTCGTGCCATTTGCTCAAGCGTGGACGAGATTGGAACTTGTCGGACAACATCGTCTTGCTGAAATGTCGCCAACTTCCCAGTGGAGCCAACGACTAAGGATGACTGGACGCCAAGGCCAATGTGCCAAGATTGATTGCGCTCATAAACATAGTAATCAAGATCTGACTTGGCAAGTACAAGGTCGACGACGAGTTCGACGCTTGTATTGCCTTCTGTGGATCTGGGGATAGTTTCGATCATCGTCGTCCCGGTCAACACGGCTGCAGGGACGAAAGGAAGTGAAGGAGAAAGGAGAAGATGTAGCTCGATCGTTGAGCAATGTACGTGTGGCTGTTTTCTAATCGTAATACTACTGTAAAGGGGGCGGCTCAATAAGTACTATATATGTTCACTCTCAGGCCGACGCTATACTGAGTACCGGCAACCATGAAAGTCTTGACAACATGAATCCAGCAAATTATTGCATCACGCCTGTTTGAGAATTTCCCAGGCTAACACATTCCATGACCTTCTTGGTTCAGGTCCACTTTGTACTACGTAGACGTCTTGTGACGTGAGCGTTTGGAGGAGGTTCTATAATACTTTGAGTGGTCACCAGCCCATGTTTAAGACATCGGGATTGAATGAAGACCACTTGAGTGATTAGCATCATGCAGCATGTATCTGCCGTGACGTGACGTGACGTGCCGTGCCGTGCCATGTCGTGCCGTGCCGTGCCGTGTGCCCTTCATTCGAAAGTCATGTACTCAACTGCCGAGACCCTCATGAGACATAAGCTACCTACTATAATCGTGAGATCACTGTCCTACATTCTACATCCTGTAGTGTCCGAGACACTCTCGAACTATGTATCAACCCTCTTCTCGTGTAGAAAACTCACATGACGCTCCCGTATTCTGAGCTACGATACTGCCGAGACATATAGCAGACATAAGCTCTCCCTCTGTTTCGCGGATTCAAGCACTCACATTCTGAGCTTCGTCACTGCCGAGATATGTCCTATCTAGACACACAAACCTCTCTTGGTATCTGGAGTTTAGGCCACTATGTACCACGCTCCCGTATCGTCGAGACACTTCTGGGCTACCTCATTGCCTGCCAAGCAGGAGACTAAGTTGGTGGGACATTGGCATTCGCGCCAGATCGGTATGGAACGTACAAGGGAACTTGTCTCATTGATTACAGGTATTTGCTGATCTTCTGGAGCAATCTTTTTGAAAATCCGCTTTCGATACGCATTTTAGGAACGCGGGTGAGAACAGTGAGCTCAGCTATAGATAAGCTATGCTGCCCTGCTTTATAGCTGGTTTTGCCACTCCGTCTCGAAAAGCTAGAAGGCACACCTGACGGGCGAGACTCACGACATGGACGCTTCTGATGACTATGTGCTAGGAAGAGGAGCAGCCGAGTCTGTGCGGTTCGTGGGCTACTCGTCCATCCTACCTTGGCTCATCCACTAACTTGGTGCCTCAGTCTAGATGCGCAGCACTTGCTCTGGAGGCTTCATCAAGGCTATTTGCTACACCCTTCCATCTCTGTCACTCGAGATATGAGAATTGCGGAAGTAGGTACGGGTACAGCGTAAGTGTCGTCTTCGCTACAAAAGGAAGTCTCTCGCCAACCCCCTAGATCTTGGATACTGGACTTGACACAGCAGCTCCCCAATACAGTCAAGCTTCATGGCTACGACTATCTCCGACAGACAGTTCCCTCACCACGATCTCCTACCGGAGAATGTGACCCTAGGGCTCCTCAATTCTCTCGAAGACACCCCGTCTGAGCTTCACGATCAATATGATGTGGTGCACTTGCGGATGTGGGCGAGCAATCTCCGAAGCAGAAATGTGAATATGTTAATTCAAAATATCGAGAAAATGCTCAGTAGGTCTTCCTATATGGGCATTCAATTCTGTGCGCTCGGCTGACTGTGTACAGAGCCAGGTGGATTCATACAGTGGGAAGAAGCCGATCTCATGCATCAAGTCGTCAAGACAGACGCAGCAACAACCTTCGAGGCTAATATCAACGAGCTGTTCAGGCGCGTTGACATAGACTATAGGTAATCACGGCAGCCCTAGCTTTATGAAATTTGCTAATCCTCTGTTCGCACTTAGTTGGGTGCATGACTTGCCCAAGTCCTTCGAGCTTCAGGGGTTCGAGGTCAAACATGCTGAGCACAAGGTTTTCCAGCCTAGCCAGGTCCAGCTGTGTACGAACACCTATCTCCTGGCATTGAAAGAAATTATTGCGGGTATCAAAAGCACATCATCTCAAGTTCCCGGGTTGAACATTGGGTCGCATGAGGAGGCTCTAGCGCAGCTATTGGAAAACCATACTCGAGTAGTTTACAACTGGGGCCCGTTGTCTCTTCTGGCGCAGACTCGACGAGTTTAGCCGTACGAAGCCCGCAGAGAACAGCTTTTCCTTAATGAAGAATACAATCCGCCGTCACGGTATTTGCCATGGACTAGATAGTTTTAAGGGGAGCTTACTGTAGCCGATTGCCATCGAGTAGGCCCGGCTGAGTCACTTGTCCGTCTTAAACATGAAGTCATTGTCTGCTCGATTCAGTGTTGTCTCAAAGAAGATGTTTTCCCCAGGCACCCCAGTCCTGCCGTCTAATATTTCTCCCGTCTCATGATTAACAAGATATGCCGGAAGGAAATGCAACTGACCTCAAGATCACCCCATGTCGCACACACATCATGCTAGCCAGCTGCTATAAAGATCACTCATGCCCCCCACCAGATCGCAACTTCGCTGCTCCAAGGGATTCTGTCAATGATCGCATATCCCCCCTTTTTTTTCAACAGTCACACGGACAACAACAAAGTCGATCAATGTCTTTCTTCAATACTGAACTGATGTCGGCTGACAACAACAGCCACAGTAAGTCGGCCTGTTCTAGCTTTAAGCCACTATAGCACCAAGGGAAATTCTCATGAATTCCGTCAACCCGCTTTGCACGAACCACAAGATCATGAGCTAACTTGGTGTCAAGTCCTAGATCAGAGCCCTGCAGCGCCTCCTGCCCTCTTAATGTCGGAAGTCTGTGTACCAGAATCGACCCGGAGATTGACGATGACAACTCGGTGTCAAGTTGAGTCTATCTTAGCACAACAGGATGACCGGCTTCTCGTCATTGTTAGGCCACGATTGGCGCAGGGCTCTGCAAAGATCCTCAAGCTCTGTCACAGACTTCAGCGCCTGGGCCAAAACAGCTGCAACGATGTTATGATGGTGTTGCAAGTTAACCCGGAGAATGTTTGCGCCTCTGTGAACGGCGGGTCACCCAGATATACAAACCAGCCAGTTGGTTACATGACCAATGAGCAGGTGCGAGCCTATCGTGAGCTTTTGAGGGATCTACAACGAGTGGAATACCTGTGGCTGCCGAAATACGAGGTACCATCTTGGTCCACTACGTCCCCGATCTGCTCTCCTTAGGGCTTGCTGCTGGCTGCGAGGTACAGTCTCAGTCCCTTCGAGAACTAGTGTCTGGATTGCCTTTTCCGATCGGCTTGAGAAACAACTCCGGCGTTCCTATAGATGCCATCAAGTCCTCGGCGGAACAACACCAGTGCTTCGGAATAACAAAATTAGGGCAGCTTGCAGTTATCTCTACAGCTGGTAATGCGCACGCCTTCACCGTTTTACCGGGGAATTCAGATCTCATCGACCAGACGCTACCACAAATTCGAAAGGGAGGAGGAGAATTGCAACAAACGAGTAGTTGGCGATCTATCGTCATTGACTGTTCATACGGTATGTTGGCGTGTACCAATTTATATATGTACGTAGTAAGCTCACGTTATACAGAAACACCCACTGATATACCTCGCAATGCCGCTGTATTGGCTCACGTTGCAGCACTTCTGCAGAATGGCGAAACCTCTCTCACGGGTATAGTCGTCGAGGCAGACATTACAGGTGAAAGAAGAACCTCGAATATTGGTACGGACTGGGCTAGCGTTGAGGCTACCATTGAGGAGCTGAGTGCTTGTGTGCGCGCGCGACGCGCTATTGTTAAGGCTCGGAAGGATGCTGGCCATTGTTACTGTTAGATTGTATTAGCCTTGTCGGCATAGAAAAGATTGCTTAGACCTTACATATTCCAGCTGGCCCTCGAATACTATGTGAGCTTTGAGCGAAGCTAATACATTAACTCCAAATCAAAGAAAGGAGAATTCTTGATGATTTATGGTTCTCTTTGGACTAGCCCAAGGCGGCACAGCACATGCAGGCAGGGCGAGGCGCCATGGCATCTTCAGGCTGATCACGCTTTATCAGATCCTGGCGCTGCGAGCATGCCTCACGATATTGGGTCCACCGACACTTCTATCTAGTCATAATATGAGCAATGTCTTGCGATGCATTATTTATTGGTGTTTGTGAAGTTGTGCAACTTAGCAGACACTATAGATCCTCTCGTTGTACTTTGCTTACCCGGGAACACATTACACCGTTCAGGAGTCTACTGAAGTCTACTTGGTTTGCTTCAAATATAATTTTACCTTACTAGAGCTAGGTCTCGAATTTCTTTGGGCATATCCATACTGGTGATCAATGCATAGAAAGACACGAGTGAAACTGCATAACAAAACAGATACAATTCTGGTTTGAAATTGTTTTGCGTGATGCATGTCTTCTGACAAAAAATCAGTCGATATTTTGGAATCGACTCACATCCGAAACAAATTCTTCTTCTTGAGAGCGCCTTTTCCATATGTCCCTGCCTGGCAGTGCCTGCGAAGGGGCTCAATTATACAAAGTCATGTCAGGGATTGTGAAGCTTATTTCGAAAAGTCTTGGCTGTGACAGCCGAAACAGGAGATGTTGCGTCGAATACAGGGTCGTGATTGGCCGAGCGCAACATCACGAACAGCATCTGCCTCAGCTTCCACCCTTGAAACGGTCGGCGTAATGTGTCGATTGCGTGGCAGCACAATGTCCATGGTAATCCGAATGGGGACTTTCAAGCAATGACTTTGCCTTTCCGTCTCGATTCGATTCCTAACCTCCCACGAACGACTGTCAACACCGCGCCTCGGATCTGTGATCGAGGGCCTTGCGTTCGCCGTCTTGCCGTTAGGAGGAAAGTCCGCCTCGACGCTGGTCGTCAAGTCCAACACCATGGCGAACAAAATCCTCCTCACCGCGGCACTGGTCAACGTCTTCGTCTTGGCCAGCGGGGTGCTCATCCTCACGACAGCCCTCGTGATCCGCTCGCAGGTTAATCGTCCCGTGACAGACGGTCCTTCGGTCCTGCGCAACCTCATTTTCGTTCGACTCCCTCTCGATGCTGGCATCGCAAATGGCGTCTTTATTCTGATCGCGTCGGTATTCTCTCTCCCGGGCCTCCTGATGCAATCGACCCGAGGCTGGCTTAAGCTCAGCGGGTACATGGTCACTGTGTGCGGGCTGTTCACCATGTGCCTGGGAGTGTATCTCTGGATCATGACGCTGAAGATCGGCGAGGGGTTTCAGAGTGTGTACGAGGAACTCGACTCCGACATGCAATCGCTCATTCAGATGGATGTGAGTATAATTACATCTCCCGAACAGACAAAGGAACGACACTAATAGGCATGACCAGTTCCAATGTTGCGGATACGTCAACAGCACGACGCCCGCTTTCGTCACCGACCCCGTGTGCCCCAGTCCGGCAGCTGCTTCATTGTTGCGTGGCTGTCAAGCTGCAGTCTCCAGCTTTGCTAATGGGTTTCTGGACAAGTTCTTCACAGCTGTGTTTGGTGTCGTCGGTACGTCAATCCCCCGAACGGAGGGCTCCTGAACTCACATCTGTAGGCCTCGATACCGTCTCTATTCTGGCAACGGCCTGCCTCTCGAAAGACCGCAAGGATAAACAGTGGTATCGCCAACTTGATCGCAAAGGGGCGTCGTGGTAGAATAGAATCTGCAGCAAGTGCTCGCTATGACAGAGTAAGAGGGCCATCTCTTGCAACTGCATGGAGAGGAAATGGGTATCAAATGATAGTTTTTTCCCAGATAAACTGTGTCGTGTCCAACGAATGGCTATCCAATGCCCATGTATATCTATTGTACGCCTGAATCGCCTCGCCAACTCTAGGAAATTGTGCAAAGTAATCATACAGCGGAGTCATTAGGTCTTCTGCCGGCTGGTGCGCCGCTTTGCTGCTCGTCCTCATCAGCATCGTCTCGATACGCCGTGAGACCAGACGGGCCCGCGGCTGCTGCGGGGAGTGACGCTGTGGACGACGGCTTTCCTCTTTCCTTCCACCATTTGAGCGAGAGTATGTTGCCAAGCGACTCTGATATTGAGTCGTTTCTCTTCCTTGAATTCCTGCGAGCCACCAGGCCTGGAAAGCCGGTGCTCTTTCGCCGACGACGCCCAGCACGCGTCGTGGGCGCGCCCGGACTGTTGGACACCGCCGTCGGGGGTATAGCCGCGCCACTCACTGACCGTCTCTGATTTTGTGACAGAAGCGGCGATGACTCGGATCGACCTGGCAGTGTACTCGAGCGCAAGCGACTAACTGGCGTAGTTGCTTCATCCTGATCCTCCAACTCGCCCCAAATTTCCGCCTGCTCGGCCCACCTGAAGCCCTTCTTACGGGTAGGGGTCAGCGGTGTTGTATCTCCGTTGATCGTAGGAAAGGTCTGATATCCTGAGCCAGACTCAGTGTCGTCCGCGGCAGAACCAGATCCAAGAAGCGAATCTTCTTCACCATCCGTATCCTCGATGAGCCCGAGACCGGGCGCCAGTGAAGATTGGCCAACAGCGGGAGCATGCTGTTCCTCGCTCAGCCGCCACGATAGAGCAAGCACGCCAGCAAGCAGAATCACTGTTCCAAGCGCGATCAGGCAAGCCCGAAGCGGCGAAATCAAGCTGGTCTGATCAAAGTAGATCAAGCCGTCCAGGATCGCAATGATGTTGTAAACACAGAACACCAAGGGGTACAAGACGGACGTCGAAACAAGCTTCAGCCCCCGATGTAGGTAGTACAGCTGGCAGAGCGCCAAGGCCACCAACGCAAGGACAATCATCCAAGATTGCCATTGCGTGAACTGGTTCTTGCCGCTCGCCGTCTTGATGATCAACTCCACGGCCGACTTGGCAAAGAGAAGCGCATGCGCTGACAGCATGCCACTGATAACACCGTACACTATACCGCGCACGAGACGGAACCTCGCATCGTGCGAAAGGCTTGAGACTGCGTTGACAACATCCATCACCACTGCGATGGCCACCACAGAGAGTCCTTGCAGGACCATCCATATCACAAAAGGTCGTCGGCCCAGAAGGACCAACAACTCTCGAAGATCGTGTGCGGGTGACGGTATAGCGCCAAAGATAGCAATGAGGACAGCGCCAGCGGTCACGAGTGTCGTGCCGTACAAGGACCACCGGGTAAAGGGCTCGTGCAGTATGATGGTTGCACATATCGAATTGAACACCAAGCCCGCGGCTTGGAGCGTGGAGAGGACGGGGAGCGGCAGCGTCGATATCTGTATGGAGCTGCCGAGGATGTTGGCGACGAGGAACATGCCCATGCCGACCTGCCACCGCCGCCTTCGATACGGCGGCCGTCGCACATCGTGTGGCACCTTTTCGTCTTCGAGGATGTGTGACTTTCGTTGTAATGTAAGACCCACGCTCTGCACGCTCGTGGAAAGAATGCCGACAATGATACCTAGCTGCATGCAAGTGTCAGTCAAGATGCGGATGGAAGCTCCAGCAGCGCGCCGTCGCGCCGTCTCGAGAGGTCACGTACGGCTATGCCTCCGGCCGGCGAGAGACCGCCCAAGAGGTCGCCCATTGCGCTGTTTCCGGGCTTGTGGTCATCTGGCGACGAAGAATGCAAATTATGTCTTCGAATATTGCATTAGGTTGTCTGTCGCAAGGGGTCTATCGGTATCGATGTCGACGGGCCACGTTCGAGTTGGCAACCGAGGGAGCAGCTTCGATCGATGTTGACAGCTCGACGTCACAGCTTGTGTGGAGACCGGCGCGGATCTTTGGCGAGTATTAATGGAGAATGGAGGCTGAGGATGCAGACTAGCATACAAGTCGCAAATAGCAGTACTTGGAAGATTTGGTGAAAGACGAGCTCGGGAAGCTGTACCACGTTCGTCAGCGGAAAGGTCTCGCGCTACTTTGTCCAACGTGACGCCGGGCATGCATGCAGCATGTGGCGGTGCGGTACGTACGTGGTATCAGGTGATAAGATAGGAGGTCCTGATCCGAGTCGAGGTGGCTGGTGAGAGTGGGGTTGGTGGTCGGGGTCATTTGTGGCTTACGTGCGGTGTTCCAAGGAGCCGCCGTGGCTGGTGCCCGGCGTAGGAGGGACGACAGCTCCAGTCGGCCTCCATCGTCATCAGCTCGAGCGCTACAGTCCATCCCGATAGACTTCACGTCGCCTACATAGAGCCTACCACCACAGCAGCGCTCCTCCCGCCAACAAGACGGCCCAACTGTACTTGTCACACTAGTCTAGTACTTTCAGACACACAATCCGACCATCATGTCGCAACACGCCTTGTCCGACCAGCAGGTACGCAATGCCTCTCCGCCCGACCACCACCGATGATAACGTTCCAATCCCGAATTGAGGATGGGCAGTCGCTTACCCGCTTTGCATAGGTCGACAATGAGCTCCGCAAGATGACGGCGTTCATCAAGCAGGAGGCGATGGAGAAGGCCCGCGAGATTGAGATCAAGGCCAACGAGGAGTTTGAGATTGAAAAGTCCAAGCTCGTCCGCCAGGAGACCGACGCCATCGACAGCCAATACGAGAAGAAGTTCAAGCAGGCCACCATGTCGCAGCAAATCACACGCTCCACCGTCTCCAACAAGACGCGTCTCAAGGTCCTGTCCGCCCGCCAGGAACTTCTCGACAACATCTTTGAGGACGCCCAGAAGAAGCTCACCGACGGCGCCAAGGACAAGGGCAAGTACCAGAAGGCGCTCAAGGGGCTGATCCTCGAGGGGTTCTACGCGCTCAACGAGCCGGAGCTGCAGGTCCGCGCACGCAAGCAGGACTACGACGTCGTCAAGAAGGCCATTACCGAGGCCGAGCAAGAGTACAAGAAGAAGGTGGGCAAGGACATCAAGGGCTCCATTAATGAGGAGCAGCCTCTCCCCGAAGGATCGTGAGTCAATGTCTACCCACTGGCCAGATAGAAGCAGGCGACTAACAGTATGCAGCGCTGGTGGCGTATGGGTCGTTGGCGGCGACGGAAAGATCGACATCAACAACACCTTTGAGGCCCGTCTGGAGCTCCTCAAGACGTCGGCGGCGCCGGCCGTGCGTGAGGCGCTGTTTGGCAAGAACGAGAACCGCAAATTCGTCGACTAGACCTGCATCGTGCTATCCTGGACTTGGAACGTTTATCAATTTTCACGCATCACTGGTAAGAGAGGTTGTCGCAGGCTATTTCGTGATCGGATATCGCATCATTTCATTCGAGCCGTGCTTGCTTGGTAGCGTAGAGGCTGTATCATAAATCATCACTACCGCTCTCTGCTGTTCCTGGACACACACATGAACCTCCCCATTTCAGCCAATTGGTTTGCCCAGGAAGTGTTTCATGTAGTCCTGTTGCTTGGGCAGATCAGGATCCGGCTTGGGTTCTTTTAAGAATTCGTCAAACATGTTTTTTTTGGGCTTGGCCTTTGTCCGGACTTGGTGTTGGATTCTTTGCCCAACCCAGTCGAGGACGCTCTTGGCATCAGTTCGGGCAATCTTCATGCCCGAGTCGTTGATGCGTCTCCATGTCTCCCTGAGCTTATCAGCGAGTTGATCGACCTCGGCGTTGAACTGCTTCTCATCAACCAGCCCTGCCGCAGCCCAAGACCTAGATCCGTCGTCAATGGCCATGTCCAGCAACAACACGTTTGCTCTGAGCTCGTCCCAGTCTGTCTTGGTGAGGGCGTTGATAACAAAATCTGGGCCGTCCAGACGAGCGATCATCTTTCTCAAAGTGACGGTGACCTCGGGATTTTCCCCGCCAAGCGACGGGTCGTCGAAGAGAAACGCTGTGGCAAGACGACGGCGAAGCTCATGCGAGCGAGCATCGCTGATGGGCAGGCACATGAGGACCTTGATGCGAACATGCTGGGATTTAAAGTTGTGATATAGTCGCTTCGTAGTGTCAAGACACTGCATTCGTTCGTCAGTATAGGTTCGTGCAGACGACAAAGGAGACTTACGAAGCCGTCCCATGATGGGAGAGGCAGCGCAGCCAGCAGAGCTATGACAGCATCCTCGTGCTCAACCAGGATTTCAACATTTCTTAGAATCACGTCGTCGGCAGCCATCGTCAGTAACATGCTGAGCGCATATTTGACGGATTCCACCGCCATATGGGGCGCCAGCACCGCAAGCAACTGGAGGAACATGCGCACGCTCCCCCAATCTTTCTCGCGATATGTCTCCTCATCTGCCGCGTTGGTCTGCAATTCATCTTGGGTCGATGATGTGATGTCTTCCCTGCTCCCAATCAGATTGAACAGGTCTCGCAGTCGATCCGGCGTGATGCGAGTCTCTATTTGGTCAGAGCACATGGTAACCAGATTCAAGTATTCGATCTGCATCAGTCTTGACCTGCTGCCACATATTTGTGAGAGCATCCAGTCGAAAAGCTCATCCGCCAGGCCGCCGCATTTCTGGAGCACGGTGTAGGGAATGCCTGACACGAGATATTGCTCCCGAGCACTGGCGCTCCCCGCAAAACCTCTCCAGGGACCAGTGCACATTTTCTTAGGCACCGGATCTGGCGCGGGGGGACTGTAAGGATCCTTGAAGAAGCAAAATCGGGCATCGCCATGTCCTGACTCGGCGCGCTGCACAGCTCTGAGCACCTTATGCGCATTGGAGCCGCCTCTGTCGTGGACGACGCTCAAGAAGGCCTGGTCATTGCCATCGACTCTCTTTGCAGCGGCGAGTTCCCGCGCAATCTCGGCGGCCTCTGCTAGTTCCTCCTCATGACGTCGCGAGCTCTCCTCGACGCGCTTATCACTCTCTGCGTCCTCGGCAAGCGCCTTCATATCAAATGCGTGCTTGGACTGGATGGTCAAGGGCGACGAGTAGAATTGATCTGTCATGTGCCTTTTCGCCTTTGGGGTCTCGAATATCCGCCGAGGTGCAGCTGAACTCGTTTCCATGGGCGCCGTCTTTCTTGGGTCGAACCTTGCCAGTAGATCCTCCATGTCAGAGTCGGAGTCCCCAGCATCGAGGTCCTCCTCATCGGAGGCTGGGATGACCTGCTGGGTGAACTTTTTCTGGGGACTTGGCGAGCTTGTGAGCCTGGGAAGGTCGACATAGTCTGGTCGAGGGGAACTCCTGGGACTTGTTTGCGCCTTGGTTGGCGTTTGCCTCAATTTGGGGAGCTGGTTTGCTGGCGACATTGATCTTTGTCTTTGCGGTGATTGTCTTTGCGGGGATGCACGAGAAGTTGAAACAGGTGAAGCATGCTTTGCAAGCGGATGTGGTCGAGAGTGTTGTGGATCGGGTTGTGATTGTGTTTGTGAGACCGGCTTGAAGAAGCCTGTGATGGCGCCTTTGCCCTGCACTGCGGCAGCCTTGGGGGCCATATCGCGTACGAAGCTGCTTTTCCCGCGACGACACAGACTTTATCCAGGCTCACGCATCCAAGGGGCTGATTGACGTTGGTGTGGTCTTCTTGTTGACTGGAGGTTGATGGTGATGTTGAGGAAGATACGCGCTGATTGGCGATAATTTCGCGTGGTATCCGAACGTGCATGCTACACTAACGTGCCCTGCTTCCGCTCCAACTTCATCTCCAGGGGAACTTGAACTTCACTATTATCTATCGCGCGCCATTCATGTCACGGTTGCTGCTCTTCTCAGTGCCAAGCACTCATTTGCATCCTCCAGCCCATGGAGCAGCCATCACTGTCCGCTATGACTATGTATCACGCGCTCGAACAATGCGATTCGCGACCGCGAGTTCGCAACTCAATCGACGCACGTCGGATTCTGGTGCTCATGCAATTGCGACAACCCTGGAATCCCTGAACTAATAATAGATTTGGCTCGAAATTTGCCTAGCTCAGACTCAGATTCTCGAATCCTACAAAAAATCCAACCTGGTCTGCCAAGGGCGACGATGCGCCAACCTTCCTGTAGAACAGGCTCAATCGTCGAGCCAAGGAACTGTTACTGGGATCTTGCTTACGGTCCTTGCGATGAAAAGTGATATCCGAGAAAAATGTACGGAGTATAAAAGTTCATCTCTGGCCGTCTCGTGCTTTGGGCCGCCCACTCATTCGTACAAACGATCCAAGCCATGCGTCTTCGTGCAGCCACGTTTTGCGCGAGCCTCATCGCAGCCCACGCGGCGGCAACGCCAGCAGCCGAAGGCGATGCTGCAGCAGTGCGAGAGTACAACGGCTCATGCGCGCACCCCGTGGTGCGTAAGGAATGGCGAACACTGTCCACTCCGGAGAAGCACAATTACATCGACGCCGTGCTGTGTCTCGCCACCAAGCCCTCCGAGATTGGACTGGGGACCACGCGATACGACGACTTTGCCTACTCGCACATGATCAATGAAAAGCAGAGTAAGATGACCTGACACACCCACCGAGTCACTACTAACAGACGCCCATAGTCCACTTTGTGTCCAACTTCCTGCCGTGGCACCGCTACTTTGTCCACGTCTACGAGAAGGCACTCCAGGACTGCGGCTACACCGGGTCGGCTGTGTACTGGGACTGGACCCTCGACTCGGACGAGCCTCGCGATTCGCCCGTTTGGGACATTGAAACTGGATTCGGCGGCGATGGCACGGGAGGCGACCCTTCATGCATCGTAGACGGCCCGTTTGCTGGGTTCCAGGTCGCGTATCGCGCCAGTGGCTACGCGCCACACTGCCTGTCCCGCCAGTTCAACGGCAGTGGGACCAGTATGCTCAAGCACGCATACACACCAGCCGTGATCGAGGAAATTTTCGGCATCCCTGGGTATGACGCCTTCAGACAGCGGTTGGAGGGCTATCCTCACGGAGCCATACACAGCGCCATTGGTGGCGACATGGTGCCGGCTCACTCGCCCAACGGTAAGTGGCAACCATCCCAGAGGCCTAGACGTTGAATCTTACTGGACCTAAACAGACCCAATCTTCTTCCTGCATCATGGTCAGGTCGACCGCATCTGGACGCTCTGGCAGCAGGAGAACCCCGAAAATCGGACCTTTGATTACAGCGGTGTGAGGAGACAGACGTTCCCAGGCGGGCCCCAGCCAGGCGAGGCAAGCCTTGATGACCTACTTGAGATGCAAGGGATGGCCACGGACTTACCGGTGCGCGACTTGATGTCTACGACAAGTGGCCAGCTGTGCTACACGTACTGAAAGCCAATGACACACTATGGTGGTGTTGCGATGTATTACAAGGCGGCCTATAAGTCTAGCGCGTAGCCTGGAAAGACAGATTCATCCAATGGCCTCTCCCAGACCGGCTCTTCCCACGTTATCCCCTTCTCCACCAGCTTGTCAATGTCGATGCCTTTGAATAGCTCAGCCGCTGGCGCAAACGGATTGTGTTCCGAGCATGGCGAGCCCAGTGACATGTCAGAGCTCGTCTCCGATGGTGGAGGCAACCATGGCTGCGAGTACTGGTGCATTCTTGGCGTATTCACGATACTGAGAAGCTCGTCTCGCGGCAAGGACAGGAGCTCTGACACTTCATGGTCCGGAAACAGGCGGTCGACGATGGTGCGGTGCTCTTCCAGGGATCTCGAGAGCTTTTCTACTTTTCTGGACATCTGCGTCAGTCAAGAGACATTGAACAGCGACGGGCAACTGTACGTACTGCTTGGAAGGGTGCATCCTCTCGCGGTGCCTGGCATAGCCACACGAATGGGCAAGACCGCGTGTCGAGCATCGGCTACACGGCGACGCTCCATCGCAGCGAATCTTGCGGCGCTTGCACTCGATGCATGCATGTGGAATCTTGCAGCCGCGTGAGCGAGGCCTCTTCTCGACGGGTATCTTCAAGCAGCTGCTGCTCGAGTCTGGTGTCTCGGGGTGGCCTGAGACTGTATGTGTTGGTTAGTGCCACGGTCGAACATAGCAGCTTCAGGGGATGAGACGCACAGACGTGGAACATGGTGAAAGGATGAGATGTTTGTTCAGTACGGCAATGGTGACTCGGACAGCGTACTTGAGCTCGATCCCATCCAGATGAAGCTGCCCAGGCACGGATACTTATGTACGACTCATGCGTACGTATCTACTCCGTATTATTCCACGCATAGTCAACTCTGACCCTGACAACGTGGCTGACAGGAGAGGACCCCGGACTCTCTCCCCACCAAGCGTCGGCCCTTTCTTCGCCATGCAGGCACATGGCGCCGGCACCGCGTCTACTCATAGGCCAAAGGGCAAGCCTGATCGACGCCATGGAGGCGGCAAGGGCTCAGAAAGGCCGAGTCCAGCACCGACCGGGGCACGATGCCGATTTGGGCCTGGACATGTTCGGTCTTCGTGGGGACTATTATGCATACAAGTACATGGTGCCTTGCACACTGCAGTAGGTACAGTACAGGAGTTGACGACTCAGTGATTGTCGCCATGGCATGGTGTGGAGAATTGGCATCCTAGGTATAATATCGCCTAGCCGAGGAACGGGCGGCCACTTGTCGGAGAGACTCTTCAGTACGTACAAGTATGCGTGCAAGGCCTGGTCGTCTTGGCACGCCGGGTCTCGTCACCAGCCTTGGCAGTCTTGTCCGTACCGGGCAACTATGGGCAGACTAGCTTGCTTGCTCGCTGCTCAGTACTCAGTAGCTATCAAGCTGATGTGGACATGGGTGGGCAAGAGTTGGAGCAGGAACTTCCCCGACGTGCCTCTGCCACCGAGCATCAAATCCTCCGCGCTTCCTCTCCGCAACAGTCCAGCCGATGTGCCAAGCTGAGTACATGTACGTACTCCGGATGACCTATTCCCCAGAAACTCACTCCAGACTATTTACTAGCTGGTGCGAGAACCTGCTCAGCACCCCGGACTATGTGCCGCCTTTCTCCACTCCATCTCCGAGGTGCAGTCTTGCAGAGTGTAGGCCGTCCCCTCCTCCTTGGACCCCCCTGCGATCTCGTCGGCCCGGCGACCTCTTGGCCCCGGACTTGTTGGACTTGGAGGGGGAGCTGAACCTTGAATGCGTTCGTCGTATGATGCTGAGACTCGAGAACCGGCGTCTCATTACCGGCTCGGAGGTTCCCACATCAATTTGGGTTGTCTTGAGTGGTGGAAGCGATGCCCCCCCAAGCAAACACGCCAAGCCTGCTGTCGGTAATCGATCACATACGGAGAGTTTTGGGATGCGCCGACCGCTTGACGTGTGCTGATCAGCTCCTAATCTGGACTATATTCGAGTAAGGTTTCGACCTTGTACCGAACAACTTTTCATTCGCTGTATTTCCGACGGTCTACTCGAGTACGTATCGCTACGCCCTGGGATCCCACTCTTGGTCAATCTCGTCGAGGAGGTTCAGCTCCCTGAGTGCATCGGCACCCAGGATCTTATCCAGAGGCACGAGCTTGTAGCTAGCCTCTTCATCCGCGCCACCACCCGCCAACTCATTCGTGTCGTCGTGGACGACGAGGAGGCCATAGGGATACTCGTCACCCAGCCGGGCCCCCACAGCCGTGACACCGTCCGTGTTCGTCACGCCGTCAATCGTCCCATCCGCTGTGCCAGGGATGGTAAAGGTCACCACATAGTCGTGCGGGTGAGCACGTCGGTACACATTGTAGGCGCTGACACCCTGGCAGGAGACGATGATGAAGCCCTCGTCCTTGGTCTTGCCATAGACGAGCGTGACACCCTCCACATCACCAAAGAGACGACCGTCGCCCACGTACGCAATGCGATAGCCCTCGTCGCTACCGTCGGGTTCGGCGTCGTAACGCCACAGGGCGGAAGGCTCCTCGCCCAGGATCAGCCAGCCATTGTCCTCGTCCGTGACGCAGCCCTCGACCTGCCCACCCGAGCCACCGACGAACTCGCGGACGAGCTCGGTGTGCAGCGTGCCGTTCGCCGTGGCCGTGAGCTCGTACTGCATGTAGCGGGCTGACTTCTCGTTGACAAAGAGGTACTGCCTGCCTGTGGTCTTGGACTTGTAGACGCACGAGCCGTAGACCTCGTCCTCAGCGTCCGAGGGCTGGATGCCGCCGTTGACATCCTGGAGGACACCATCTTCTGTCATCTCAAAGAGGCTAGACGAGTCAGCGCAGCTCCTACCGCGAAGAAACGGGCGAAGACAAACCAGAGAGTATTGTCGCCGCGACAAGCAGCAAAAGCAAGGTCCACGGTGCGATCCCCAGCTTGGAACCCGTAGATCATGTCGACATTGTTCGGCTGGTTCGAAGGGTGCACCTGCAGCTCGTTGCCCTTCAAGTCGTAGACACCGAGACCAGCACCGTCCTCCGACTTGGTGGTTGTGACGATGCGAGACTTGTCCGGAGACCTGGGCGAGATCCAGATGGCGGGATCATCGCCATCGGCACCATTGGCTTCGGTCTCGTGGGAGGGCTCCACGAGGAGGAATGCGCAGTGCAGACCACCCCATCTCTCGTCACACTTGCATTCGTTGGGACCGACGCACGCGCCGTGGCTGGAGCAGTCCTTTTGGCAGGTGAACCCGGAGCAGTCTTGGCCAGTGCTCCCAGCGAAGCACTCGCAGGACTGGTCAGCCTTGGACCAGAACCCCTTAAAGGAGCAATCCGCGTTGATAGGGTTGCGCTGACGACAGCCCCGGTGGATGCGAGGGTCGTATTCCGTGTTGTACTCGATATCGAGCTCCTCAAGAGCACCCTTGAGTGAGCTCAAGCCGAATCCCTGAAAGTCGTCTGCTTCGGCAGCATAGGCTAGCAGACCCTTTGGGTATCCCTGCGCAGGCTCTTGATGCATGCTCAACCCCTGAATCTCCAGCTCGTCGAGGCCAGTCATGTGAATGCTGCCGATAGATTCCCAGGCGAAGCTGAAGACATCAATGACATCTGTCTGTGCGGCAAAGATGTAGTCATCCTCGACCGAGCTGTAGACCGCGATACCTGTCAGGTCGTCGCCGACCTCCCCAATTACTTCGAGCTGTGGTGCCTTGGTCGACTCGTCCAGGTCCAAGACGTACAGGTTGGTACCGTCGTCGGGGGTCAGCAGCATCTTGGATTCGCGCTGCGACACGGCGCAGCCAGCGAACTCGGTGGGCACGTCAAAGGTTTGAATCTAGATTGTCAGGCACATCTTACGCGCAAGGAAGAGAAGCACTGACCTCTACCAACTCAACCTCCCCATCAGTTTCCCGCAAAAGGTACTGGACGCCGTTTTTCTTGCCAAACAGAAAGAGGTACGTGTTGGCACTGCGGCTCCGCCACGAGCAGAGTGCAGACCAGTCGCCAAGCGCTTTGAACGCGACATTGTCGACTTTCTTCACCTCGGGTAGCTCGTAGAGGCTGAACACGGAGGTCGTCTGGGGGATTGACACGAGATAGTCCTTGCCAGCAATGTTATACTCGGTCTGGACGAGCTTGGTGCGGCCGGTGAACTGGTCCTTGACCGATCCAAGCGGTGATCCGCCCTCAATGCCAAAGACATGGAAACCTCCCGTTGATGCGCCGCCGTCGTTGGTGATGAGCAGTGGACGATCCTGGGAGTAGTAGGTCGTCGTCCAATCCGACTCGATCGAGCCAGATGTGGTGGCGGTGACGTTGAGCTCTACACTGACGGCGGCAGCGCTCACGGCAGCGAGCCCAAAGATTGACCATGGAGCCATGATGTTCGAGGAACAGGCGAGATTGCCAGTGCATGGCTCCATGGTATGAGGGCAGCGAGCGCGCAGCCTCTGCCTTTTATGCGCAGCGCGCCCTCACTGGATCGTATGCCACGTGCTTTGAGGAGTTTCCAGAACGCCAAAATTATGGTTAATTGGCAGTGACGTGCGGGAGTGGTCCAGCAACTTGACTTTAGGGTGCCCTGGCGCAACGTGCATCTGGCGTGGTGTCGATGATGCGCGTGTTGCGGATGGGCGATGCGATTGGATGTGGGAGCGGTGAAGCCTCATGTCTGCGCCGGGGTCGACGAGGTCTGCATACGACTGCGCGGTTTTGGGCAGATCAGTACCAGGGCTCACCTAACAATGACTCTGTCCGAGTCCAGTCTGTCGTCAGATTTCATGGCGGCTTGTTGGGACGAAGTTGAGGATCACGGGTGGCGCCGGGAGTGGCGCACGGAGCGTCCGCTGCTCTAACAGGTTTGGTCACATTTTGTGTGTCTGTCTGTTAGTGGACCGACACTCAGTGGACGTCGACTCGGATATTATTTTGATTCTCCGCTTTCTACAGATCTTGCCTCAAAAATGACGAATGCTACTATCTTCGCATCCGCGGCCTTGGCCTCATCGACATCTACGGCACGCCAGCGCCATCGCAACCAAGTCGAGAGACTGTTCATCCCCCCCGCCAGCCATCTAGTACTTGAAGACAGGAGCATCACTGCCTACACGACGCTTGTTCTGCCAAGCATAATAGTAGTGCATGAGCACGCAACCCACAGAGACGAACAGCAGCAGACTAGCGTTCGTCCAGTGGCCCGTGGGATACCCCCTGGTGGCCTCGTCGGATTTGTAGATCCAGACACCCACAATCTGACCGGGTGCGCCCATGGAGATATTCAGCGCGATGGCCAGGCCGATGGATGCTGTAGAATGCAAATTCGACGACAGCCAGCCCAGGAGAGGAGGGATGCATGCAAAGGAGCCACATGTGGCGACAATGAGGCAGCCATAGCGCGGCTACAACTGTTAGCATGCTGTCACTACCGTCGTCGACTACATCAGCTTACAGTGTAAGAGGTGGCCGGCAGCAGAGCAGACCCGATGAAGCCCGCTGCTCCGACGAGCGACAGAGCGGCGGAGTGTAGACCGCGCCTGGATGGAAAGTCAGTCAACACCAGCATGACAAGAGAAGTGTGAGCACAAACAGGTTGTATCGATCCGCCGACCAAGCTGTGGCCAGTGTCACCACGTACGCGGCCGCATACGGGGGCACCGTCATGAGCTGTGCGCGGAGATCGGCAAACTGCGCGTTGTCAGTCTTCGTCCTGTCTCCGATAGAGGGACACAGCTTACCCCGAGACCAGCAGTGATGGAAGGGCTGAACAGCGACAGGCTCGAGAACGGGGCCGAGATGCCAAAGTAGATCTGCGCGCATCCGTGTCAGCAATGCCAGATATAGATTGGAGAGCCTTCACGTACGGCGTAATGCGCCCATAGCCTCCACTCCAGAAGCGTCTTCTTGGCATCGACCCAGGTGAACTTGCTACTCCCGTGCGAGCCCTGCTCGGCCAGCCTGTGCGCGGCAAGATCCTTCTCCTCCGCCGTGAGCCAGGACGCCGTCTCTGGGTAGTCGGGGAGACCGAACCAGACCAGAAAGGCCGAGATGACCGAGGGGATGCCCTCCAGAATGAAGAGCCAGCGCCAGGCGGGCAGACCATGGATACCGTTCATGTAGCCGACACCATAGGCAATGGCGCCGCCAAACGCACCAGCGAGCGTGGCAGACGCCAGGATCATAGCGACGCGAACGGACCGCTCCTCGGGTCTGTACCAGAAGGTGAGGTAGTACACCAGCCCGGGGAAGAGACCGGCCTCAAAGACACCCAGCAAGGCCCGCAGGGCGGTGACAGAGGCAAAGCCCTGCGCAGCGCCCAGACACATGGTGACGGTGCCCCAAGTGAGCATGAGGAAGGCGATCCAGCGACTGGGCCGTGTCCTCTTGAGGAAGTAGTTGGAGGGGACCTCGAAGAGGGCGTAGGCGATGAGGAAGACCATGAGGGAGATGGTGTACTGGTAGTTGGACATGCCGGTGACGGCGAGCAGGTCGTCGCCCGTGGCGCGGTTGAGGACCTTGGCGTTGCCGATGTTGGAGCGGTCCAGGTAGCAGAGCAGGTAGATGCCGGCGGCGAGGGGGATGATGCGCAGGTCCTGCTTGCGCACGAGGGCGGCGTCTTGCTTGGGGTTGATGATGGCCGTGGTGGCTACATGGTTGTTAGTGTCCTGCTTTGCGTCTGCCTCGAGGTCGCCGGCTGCCTCGCCAGAGAGGCGCTTCTCGTCGTTGCCCATGATGGGTCCTTCTCGTTGGATGTAGGAGGATGAGGAGGAAATGGGTCACGCGATACCAGCACAATAATTGCGGTGTACCTCTCCCCGCTCCCTGCATGTGTCGAGGCACAAGATATGTCCGGCAATGTACATCCCCACATCCAGGGTCTCATCGCTTGGGTGACGATCATGGCCTCATGGGTCGCTTGGTCCCTCGTCCATTCAACCCTTGTTAGCTGCGGGAGTTTTCCGTGCTTGATCCAGATTCCAGAGTCCAGACTGGGTCGGTCACGGCAAAGGCAGCCATTTCGTCTTCAGTTTTCACGCCATGTTTGTGCTGAACGAATATTGGCCTTGGAAACTGAAGCCATCCAAGAGGTCCATTTCAAGAAATCCTGGTGCGTCAGGCTGCTAGCAGTGCCGCCTCTCACAGTCGCGCCTGGGGGCCTGTGAGACATCAATATCGTGAACGCTATTTTGTGTCTTACCAAGGATACTGTATGCATGTCTAGTCGAGAAATAATGTCTTGCTTTGTACATGTACTGTCACGCAAATATACTACAATCTAGGCATCCTCGTCCTTTCCCGGCCACATAATTTGCCCCGTCACGATGGCCTTGACGTGGAGACACACATTGAGCAGCCAGACGGCAAAGAGTAGAACCGTCATGGCCGTGGCCACCCACAGGATGGCCTCCGACTCGAGACTCTGCCCAATGTACGTTGTCGCGATCGTGAAGCCGACGTTGGGAAAGATGATGCCCCACCAGGACAGCGAGAAGCCCATGCGAGCCTGCAGTCGCCGTCGACCCTGGATCCGGGGGAACATGGTCGGGAGGTTGACGAGGAGCGCCAGGAGGAACAGCCAAAGGGTGAACACCCACAGGAAGATGGCCATCCACAGCGCCACCACCCTCAGAACCTCAGCCGCCTCTGGGTGCGCGGCAAAGTAGCCGTACTCGACCGGTATGTAGTTGGCGCACCCGACAACTGAGACCATGGTGAAGGCGGCGGAACCCACGGGGATGAAGAGCCCCGGTCTTTGGTTCACACGACCGACGCCATTGCGCAGGAGACTACCCAGAACATGCGGCATCAGCACGAGGCTCACCGTCCAGCCCAGGCCCTGGTAGCTGATGCCTGCGACAATAACAAGCAGCCGCTGGGCGGGCGGCTGGGTCTCGACAATAGTCGCGGCAATGGTGCCCGTCAGCATGGTGCAGTAGATCATGAGAAACGCCGCGGGGCTGATCTTCTGCGGCTCGACGGCGACCTTGAGGAAGACGACGACAAAGAGGGCGCTCGAAAAGAGGAGGCTGACAGCCGCGTACATCCAAAAGAGCACACGGACGACGACGACGAGCCAGGGCCCCGCGTGCGGCACGCCGTACTTCTGGATACACATGATGACGGTGGCAATGGACAGCCAGAAGGACCCGACAAAGAAGAGCTCGGGGAGGTGGGTGAAGGAGGCCCGGGCCGTCTGCGGGTGGAGGCGGAGCATGGCGAGGGAGAAGAGGGTGAGCAGGACGAGATTGAGGAGGAAGATGACGAGGCCGGCGGTGCGTAGGCCAGGGAACTGATGAGGTGTCTCGGAGAGAAGGATGGCGATGGCGCCGGTGGACTGGGTGCAGGTGAAGTTGGCCCAGGTGAAGTGCTCGAGGCGGGCGCGCAGGCCGAGGCGCTGGTTCTTTGGGGGTGCCTTTGTGGGATGGTACTTGTCCTTCTTGTCGCGCTCCATGTCGGGGTCTTCTGGTGTGTCTGCGTCCATTGCGATGGAGGAGGATGAAGAGGAGGGAGTGGTATGTGGCAGGATGGCACAGACTTGAGGTTGGAGTCGTGGAAGATGTGACCCTGGTCCGCCACGCGTCTGAGGTCTTGGCCAACGGCTTATATGATTAATGCAACAAGACGGTGTCCCAACTCATCAATTGACAATCGTCAATGTTCACTGACGTTGTCTGGATTGTTGATGTCACGGATGGAGATGGAGATGGAGATGATCACGTTTAGCGCAAGGGAGCAGCCGATGATCGATCGCGCTATTGAATTGAGTTTTCTAGAATGACCCGTCCATTCATCTATTTAGATCCTATTTCTATTCCGAGCATTCCCACCAGCCTCAGCGCCTCCAGAACGCAACGTCGCTCCAGGTGACCTCCATAGGCCCCGAGCCACTGTTGGTCGCATAGGCGCCGTACTTGTCATAAAAGCTGCCGTCCGGCGAGCTCGTCGTGTACTTCTCCTCGCCGTTGATGTAGACGGTGATCTCCCCAGCGTCCAGGTCGTGCACCGTGTTGACCTGGACCGTCTCGCCGACCGCGGCGACGCCCTCGTACGCAATGGTCTCCTGGTCGTGCACGTTGTACAGACGCCCAGACTGCTCGACAGCCATCATGAACCAGGCGCCCTCGTCGCCGTGAAAGGTCTGCTTGAGCGAGACGCGGTCGCCCCCAAAGGACTGGATGGTGAACTGCCCGCTGAACTGGTGCACGCCAGAACTGTAGTCGTTACGCACACGCTCCTCGGCGCGTAGATGGCCGCTGCTGCAGCCGGGACCGTCGGTGCTGCCGTCGGGCTGCGAAGGGAGGTGGAAGACGTTGCCGTCGACGCTTCCTCCGCCGCAGGGCTGGATGTACGAGTCTGGATGGACCCTCGTCCAAGGGCCGCAGCCGATGGGGATGGCGGCGAGCGCGACTGTCGGCGCGAGGGCCGCGACGAGGTACTGGAGGAGCATGGTGACGGTTGAATGACTCGAAGGTTGATAGAAGTGGAGAGCTAGTTGGTTCGATGCTTCCAGTCGTGTTGAGTCCAGTCGTGATACCTGTGAGTTCCTGGTCTCTGACTTATATACCCCTTCACGAACTGGTGAACTTACAATTAGATGCGTCTATCTGGTGGATCTACCGTGGAAACTTGTTTCCATTTCGCCTGCCCGATCTCGTTAGTCTCCCGACTCGAGTCAGCAATGTTTCGATTTTCGACCCAGTCTCAGCCTCGAATCCTCCGTACTAGGACGGACTTTTATGCCCCGGGCTCGATCACAACCATTTACCTGGCAGTCAAGGCCCAGACGCCCTCGAAAACTTTCGGAACTCGGCAACGACCGATGTATGTAATCAGGTATCATCAATGCAGCGTGGTACAGCCGGTCGAGCTCCTGCTATGCGACGTCATGCCGCCTTGCCACCGCCTCTAGCTCGCGCTTCACCTTATTCACCGCGTCGAGCTGCTCGCACCGGATAAGTCAGCCTCAACTACTTAGCCTAGTGTTCATCTCAAGAATGCTACTGGTGTAGGCGATCCTCGACTTGCAAGACCAACCTCAACTTCGAACCGGCCAGTTGTCTTTTCTGCCATAATGCAGCGGAGAGGCTCCTATATGCCCCTCATAATCAAAGAACCTGTTTCCGTTCCGCGCTTCAGTGGCTCGGTGTCCATCATGGCGCGGCAATGGGGATCTTTCCGACCGTTGGGGAGGAGGCGACTGAATGAAGCCATGTGTTGTCAGATTCCCCTGAGACAGCTAGTTCGACCCATGACGAGCCAAAAACGCCCAATTTCGTGGCTAAAGGCGCTTAAAAATCAAAGCCCGTTAATCACCAGGTTTTCTTTCTCGTTGTGGAGGCCTGTGATGCGCCCCAGGACGTCCATGATGATTTGAAAAAGACCATCATCTAGTGGCAGCTCGACCCGGCTATTCCCTTGGAAGACGAAGCCAGCCTCTGCAGCCTGTATTCCATCACTGATGGCCTGTCCAGTGGAAAAACAACCGTCATTGAGTATTGCTGCGTGTTTGTGACGGCGTTCATGTCTCATGGACAGCTGCACTCAGTGCCCCGTGTGTCTTGACTTGCTGCTCTCGCCATCCTTTTCGCCCTGGCTCGTCGTATCCGGGTCATCAAAGATTGCATCAGTTCTTGGACTTGTGCTTGGATCTTCGTCAAGGCTTGGCCTGGTCGTTTTGCCTTCCGTATCCTGCAAGACAAACAGCCGAACAGCGCTCTTCACCATCTCCATTTGGTCTGTGGGAATTTTGCCAGTGAACATGACCGGGATATTATGCTGGATCCAGAAGCCTTTGAAGTAATTGAGTCGACATGCTTGCGGGAGTGTGTGCTCTCCATACATCACGGCCCCAACAGGCGGAACTAGCTTCTCCTCCCTTGCGAGGGGTGTTGGTGGTTCATGTTTTATATCGTAGATGATGCCGTGAATCTCAGGCAGAAGTGCCTTCTCCACGCAGCCCTCTCCTCCATATGTTGAGATGGGGCAGCAAAATGACGAGTCATCTTCTGTCTTCACAACGACTATGCGTTGAAAAGATTGGTGTGCCATTTCTGCCAAGGGGTAACGTGGAGCGATGCCTTCAAGCTCCATTCCACTGGGCGCAGGTTGTCCCTTGGGCTCTGACCGATAGATGACGCCAATCTAGATGGTTAGCGATACCTCAATGTACATGTACTGAGCATCAGGCTGTGGGAGGAGTGCCTACCGATCCAACAACCCAGTCTTCACTGGGGTAAACCTGATATTCTGCGGCAGGCCTGTTAGGAAATAATCATCGGATCAGCATGGGCGACGTACCTGGATCAAGACCACGAAAGACAAATCTGGGATCCCCATGCAGGTCGCTTATTGCGTTCACCTGCTCTTGTGCGAATGCTTCACCCAACCCTGCAAGATGAATTGCATCTGTAGCTAGCCCTCCAGCGTGATAATCGGTTTCCCCACCGACGGGATAGTCGATTGCCTCTCCATCTAGTGGCGATTCGGTCCCATCTGTGCAGTATAAGCCTGTTGTCGAGATAAATCTTTAGATACAACATACCACGGGTTGCGAAGCCAGTGCTCGCTCTGCTGGGAGCATTTTTGCCGTGACTGCTTGCTGGAGCATCTTGAATCACCCCTGACGTACCATGCCGAACCTCGTTTCCATCGGCGTCTATCGAAGCAAGCGAACGGTTGGGGCTGTAGAATTGCAGAACTGAGTCATTGGACGCTTGCGAAGGCACATCTGCAGCGGTCTGGATGGCATCATCAGAGTTCGCCTCGGAAACATTGGAGCCCAATGGGATAGCAAACAAAGCCAGCTGCTCCAAATGGGATGCCAAATGTCGTTTGAATATAGTTGGTACGACGCAAACAGTATCGTCAGGCGATGTCGGGGGAGGGTGGGCTCGCGCTCTGACGCGGTCGACCCAGTCCGAGCAGCATGGGCAGTCCTGGGCGGGGATTCTCTCCAGAGGTTGGCGAGCCATGTCAAGAACGAGATGCTTGTCTGCGTGTTCTAACAGGGTGGGATGATGCTTGTGAATATGCGCCAGGTAGTGTTTCTTGTGCTCAAAAACCTTGTTTGGACAGAGCGGACAAGCATATTGAACGCGATGGGTTTCCATTTCATGGGAAAACCACTCATTAATGTCCCCGAAATACAGCCCATCGCACTGTGGATAGGTGCAGACATATGCTCGAAGGTCTGAAAAAACGTGTCTTCGCCAAATCTTTTCGTTCTTAAACCTTTTCAGCCGAAAGCAGAAAGGACATTCGACCTCGTCCTTGGACCAATGTCGCAGGGTATCCAGTCTAGGGATCCTGTCCGCCATTGAATATTCAAAGTCTTCGTCCACTGACCGTGATATAGTCGTGTAAGACCGCGAATCGTCCTCGGGGTCGGAATTGTCCTCGACCGTGAGCATTTCGGCTGTAATGTGACCCGGCTGTACGCTCGTAGCCTTGGTAACGAAAGTGGACGGCTCGCTGGCCAGGTGTAGCTCCGTATTACCTGCCTGTCGCTCCTGATGTTGCCGTGTGAACTGTTGGGTACCCGACTCGGGTTTCGCATCGCGGCTATCCACTTGTTCGAGTTTTCCACGATGGTCTTGAATGTAGCTGAGGTAGTGTCGGCGCTGGGTTATAGCCTGACCAAGGCGTCTCCTCAACCAAGCAAGGTCCTCTGTGGCGAGCTTGGGGTACTTTTCGCCAACATACGCGATATCAAACTGGTCGCTAAACTTGTACCGATCCCGACTCAGGGCTTTCGCAAAGAGATCTCTTGGCGCAGCTCGGCGGATGAGCTTGGATATTTGGAAAAGGCGGGTTATGCAGCCTCGAATTTCTTCCAGAAGCTCCGTCTCTTCATCGATGTATCCTCCGACATCTTGATCAGCAGGAGCGAACTCCGGTTCGCCTTGCCGGTCTCCAGTGACTATCTCTCGCACTATTCCACATCAGCCGCACTGTGGTACTAGGGGACAATGAGGGTACATACGCTCGCCCGCGACCTCAGCTAGATCCTCGAGCAAATCTAAAATGAGGTCCAAGACTTTTTTCTCATCTTGAAGACGTGACTCCAGTGATAGTGAAGATTGTGGGCCGTGTAGAGCGCCAATATTCCCCGTCCACAAACTCAGTCTCTCCAGATTATCCTCCACTTCTTTGTGGTTGATAATGATGTGATGATTCTGCTCCGACTGATCAACCGCAGCCGAGGAAATAGACTTTAAAATCGATACGCAGCGTCGGCATCGTTCTGAAACCGAGGCTGACATTCTTCCTAGTCCCCGAACACCTGAAGCCTGAGGTCTAATGATTTCGAAACGACCACGCTGTGCCCATCAGCCTGCTCGTCTTTGTCATTAGGTGTACCTATTCCTTCCTTGGGCTCATAGTAAAGTCAAAAATGGAGGAAAATGGAGAAAGATTTTGACATGATATTGTTTCGATTTTCCCGGGAGAAAACATGAATAATAGTGTTCATTTGTCGCAAGACAAAGAGGATGAAGATGCCTGGCGACCAGCCTCAGGTCACCAGGACCCAAAACAAGGCTCACTGGCAGGCTGCGCGAGAAGCGGGGTGGGCGGCGCGGCCCGTTTGCCTTGTTTAATCAGGCAGCCCACTGGCAGCATCGCGCACTATCGCGTTCTTCCTCTTCTTTCCTTAGCATCAGCATCTTCCCCAGCTAGAGAATAATCATCTTTGCTCTTCTGTTCTGTTGTTCATTATCATACAATCTTCTCGCCTCACCTTTCTAGTTGGATTCTTCATCTAGATTGTGTCTTCAGCGCGTCCCCATGAGCGGCTTTGAAATCACTGGTGTCGTCTTGGGGGCCATCCCCCTCATCATCTCCGGCCTCGAGCACTGGCGCGAAGTCGCAAAGGTCTGCGGCTACTACGCCCGTATTCGAAAGGAGCACAGAAAGTGTCTCTACGATGTGCGGCTATACCAAATTCTATACATGAGAAACTTGGAGGAACTCCTACTGCCAATCGTTGACAATCCCGACCATGTAACTCTCCTGGTCAACGACCCAGACAGCCATCACTGGAAGAGCAAGACCCTAGAGTCGAGGTTGGGAGACCGTCTGCAAGAGTCTTACCCTCTATACATGGAGATTATTAACAACATGAAAGAGGCCCTCGAAGAGTTACAGAAAATTCTATCCCTCGACAACATCACGGTGCAAGCCAAATTGCACCCGTCAGAACGACCACAAAAGCAAACCTCGCTCTTAACATCGGCGAGGACAAAGTGGGACTACGAACTCTTTCGAATCAAGTTCAGTTTCAATGAGCCAAAACGAACCAAGGTCGTCGATGACCTCAAAGAGTACAACGAGCGACTAGAGAAGCTCCTCAGCACAAGCGACAAGATTACTACCTTGAAGCAAGCGGCTTCCAGTGTCTACACAAAATCTACGTCTGCTCTGGAGAAGGTCTTCGCCGAAACCAGGAGGAAGTCGGGGTTACTCTACAAGGCACTGCAAAAGGCATGGCAGTGCTCCTGTCAGCACCACCACTTTGCCAATCTCCGGCTTGAGCACCGCACGCTACCGGAGATATGCTTTGAGATCATCCTGATGTTCGCTTCGTCGCCATCTAATGGAGATAAAAAAACCAATCAATGGAGTTTCAAAGAGCTCCAATGCGGCCCAATGACCGACTGCTCTTTTTCCTACACGTCGTCCCTTCTCGACGCTCCGTCTGTCCTTCAGACATCGCAGAAGGCCAGTCTTGCTCTCCGTGCTCCCATCGCATTGCGCACTCTACACCAGAAAAAAAAGGATGCTTTCCCGTCTACAGCCATTTCTGTACCTCGGATCGAGGTGAATAGCCTCACTGGGCCTAGTATCAAGCTCTGTCAGCGCCTTGGTGACCACGACTGCGGTCAGTGCATGGGTATCATTGGTCATGAAAGCGAGACATATCACCTGCATCCATTGGCCAAGCGGACATCTTCCGGCCAAAGCAGAGCCTTGACACTTGACCATGTCTTGTCGGGCGACTTTGGAGGCCATCTGGGTCGACGACAGCGTTACTATATCGCGCTATTACTTGCATCATCAGTTGCCCAGCTCCAATCTACCGAATGGCTGAGAACCGGCCTCACAAAGGGAGACATTTTCTTCTACGTATGCGGCGATGAACAATGCGAGGTCCCATTCCACGAACCCTTCATCCGTCAGGGCTTTCCTTCGTCGCGCAACGAGACGACCTCAAGCGGGTATGCCAAGGACTATAACTTTTACTCTCTAGGTATCCTTCTTTTAGAACTTTGCTTCGGCAGACGGTTGGAGGACCTCCCCCAACGTCAAAGGTTCCCAAGCGGGCCCCAAGAGGCGGAGCAAGCATATGACCTAGTGGTGGCACTAGAATGGTCAAACGGTGTAGGCGATGAAGCAGGGGACGACTACGCCTCGGCGATCAAGTGGTGTTTCACAGGCGCGAAGATGGCAAGTCGTTCATGGCAAGGAGATGTCATTAAACATGTTGTGAGGCCTCTTGAAGCGTGCCATGAGCATCTCAGGGCGGTATGCTGACTGGATGCGGGCTACAACGCTGCTAAAACAGAAAGCAGCGAGACGAGCATCGAGCATGGTCAGTCTAATGATTTCTGTCCGATACAGCTCTCTGTTCATGCTCCTGGAGTCCAGACTCCAGCCTAGTGCTCTTGCACCTCCATCACTGGCCCCTTGTACTCCCTCTTGGCCCAGAAGAAGTAGTACACGACACTGAAGAGCGCCACGCCCCCCGTCATCAGGGACGCGTAGTTCATCGAGTCCGGCGCGACGGGCGTCTGCGGCGGCCAGAAGCTGAAGAACCAGACAATCACCATGAAGCAGCAGGCAAACGCATTGTTGACGATGCCCAACACACCGGGAATGTGCCAAGGCCCCCACGCCAACGCCTGGCCCTCACCAGCTGCCGTGTCCGCGAGCGCAGGCAGCACAGATGGATCCGGCATCTTGAACCCCCTCCCGCAGCGCCGGTACAGCAGCAGCGCCCCCGTAATGAGGTACGACGAGTACAAACCCGAGACGGCGACGGAGATGATGGCATTGTACACGACGGCGGAGCCAATGTTGATGAGCCCAATGAGGCAGGAGATGACGCTGGTGATGGCAATAGCCCAGACGGGCACGTTGGTGCGCGCGTCAACCTTGGACAGCGTCGACGAGAAGGGCAGCGCCCGGTCACGCGCAAACGCCCAGAACATGCGCGACGTGGCCGCGATGACGCCCACAATGGCCGACAGCGTCATGACGATGATAAGCGAGGTCATGGCCGCCGTGCCCGCCCGCGAGCCCGTCGCCTGGTGGAAGATTTCGATAAACGGGTAGCCCGTCGGGCTGTTGATGGCCGCGTCAATGTCTGTCGCCCCGTACAGCATCGAGATGATCATGGCCAGGCCCATGGCCCCGTTGATGCAGATGCTCGTCATGATCGACCGGGGGACCGCGATGGACGGGTTCTGCACTTCTTCGCACATCTAAAGGTGTCAGCCATTACTCTACATCTAGACTTCTTGACAGAATACGTACGTGGAACGAGCAGTCGACGCCCACAAAGGAGAAGACGCAGCCCAGAAGACCGACGAACCACGACAGTCCCTGCGAGGGCCACATGCCCTCGTTGCGAAAGGTCAGGAACACATCCGCCGCGTCGCCATTGGCGCCAAACGTGACAAGCGTGATCATGACGCCAAAGAAGCCTAGGATGTGCAGCACGAGGATCATACCCTCGAGCTTGGGCAGCATGGAGCTCACGACGGTATTGATGACCACCGCAATAAAGATGCAGAGCCACAGCATCAGCGTGCCCTGCCACGTCTTCGCGTCGTACGAGGGCACGAGAAAGGTCACCAGCCCCTGCGTCATGGTCCCCGTCAGGAAGCCCGCCGCCGCCGAGGTTCCCTGCCAGCCCGCCAGCGTCAGCCAGCCCGTCATGTAGCTCAGGAACTTGGAGCAGGACCGCGGCGCCAGCATCGACACCCAGTGGTACTGTCCGCCCGACGTCGGCGCGATGGAGACGAGCTCGCACAGCGTGGAGAAGACGCTCAGGTTGCCGATCCACACAAAGATGAAGCCGTAGATCAGTCCGCCTGGTCCGCCGTTGGCGAGGCCTGGCGCAAAGTTCATCAGTGTGCCCTCCCATGTCACGAGGATGGCGCAGCTGAAGCCGAGGATGGTCAGGAAGCTAAAGTTGCGCTGGCATAGTGTTAGGAAATCGGGACAAGATGTGGTTCCCTTAGTGTGCGCACCTTGAGGACTGACCGCTTGCCGAGGCGAGCCAGCTGGTCGTAGTCTTGCTGGTCACGGTCGGTGGCCGTGGACACATGACGGGCCGTCGTCGTCGCCCCAAACGTCTTGGGCGGGCCGTCGCTATGAAGCTCGTCGCTGTTCGCCATGGTGGGAGAAGACATGTATAGAGGGAGATGGAGGGAGTTTATGATCCAAGAGCAAGACGAAAGCTGAGGAAAGGCTTAAGTATGCCTGCACAAGCACATGCAGTTGCAAACACGAGAGACCCTGGCAATCCCACACGGCCAGAACATGAATCTGGTAGGTAACAGCAACTAGATTACTGGACAAGTTGCGAGACGGCCGTACATGGTCATCAGTATGAAAATCCTTGGAAAGGGCCAAGACATTCGAGTGGCGCCACCGTAGATTCGAGGCGCATCCTATATGGCGAGACCAAAAGCTTGTCCGCACCCCTTGGCACTGGCAGCTCGACGCATGTAACATGAATGTACGTACGGGGTACTAATTACAGTACATGTATGCGTAAAGTACCCTCGACCAACGCGCGCGGATGTGTGGCAGGGGTCCCCGGCCAACCGTCGACAACGACTGGGCATAATTATGCCGTTGGTTACAAGATACGGCAATTAACGCTACGCATCAAGCTTTTGCTTTCCACTTTTCGGTTCTTTTTTACTGTACGAGCGACTGTTGTTCATGTCAAGAGGCCACTGTGGGCCAGTCTGGCGCGTGTTTATTACCTGTAGCTTCAGCGGAGAAAAGACAGGCATTACTCTCTCCCTTAGCTGGGTTGGATCGTCCACGTGCATGATCCGGGCTCAGCTGCTCGAGTTTGTGACTTAAACTTAAATATGACCGATGCAGAATGGGATTGGGCTAATGTGCCGCTGTTACTTCGCGCTCTGCACGACCCCTGCCTCCCTTAGGGACTCTCGAGGCCAATGAAGAGGAGGGTTGAGGTAATTACGCACCGGCTTTTGGGCAGTTCATGTTGAAACCGCAGAGGTCCAGACAGAAATCTGGAACGGAGAGAAGGTGATTGGGAAGATAGTACTATCCATGTCCCTGTTCACAGAGGCCAAGGTTTGAGTAGTTGGTCCGGCTGTGTTGCCATCTTGATACGTTACCTTGAGGCCCTTGTACATCATCCTCCAGTCCCAGCTCTTTGCAGTTCGTGGAAGCGGAAGCCCCGGAGAAAGCATACTTCCTCAAGCTGGCCAGCAAAGTGCCAGATTTCGAGTGAATTAGAAAGTCATGATCTTCCAGTCGAGTTGCGAGCAGTGGATGCAGTACAGCGCCGCTCGTAGTTCTAGCTAGCACATCTAAAGGGTGGGGAAAGCCTGACATCGTAGCCCAAGCCATGTGTACGCATTCTTTGAAGAAAGAGATCTATGAGTGCGGCCCTTGGCAATATTTCAGTTCGCCGTGCTGTGGCGCGACTCTCCCTCATAGTTGACAGCCCACGTCGTCTCGACCAGCACCGTCTGGCTCGTGTGGCTCTGCCCATCCCACGAACCATTCGTCTCGCGCGAGTGCGTCTCGGCCGTCGTCACCGTCGTCACCAGTGGTGTATCGCCGCTCTTACCCTGCGGCTTGTCCAAGTCCACCATCTCATATGCCTGCGACGCATTCGAGGGCATGGCAGGCGTCGCCCCTTGACTCGCAGCCGTGTTATTGTAGCGTGACCGACTCAGGGGGCCTGAGCGTGGATAGCCGCTGCCCGATCGACTGTTGGTCCCCTTGCTCCGTGTCCCTCTCAGATCGCCGGCTGCCATCTGTCCAGACTCGAGGCTGTCCATGAACGGCTTTAGGAAGGGGATGCAGGTGACGAGGAGCATCATGCACTGTATGACTTGGACGATGACGGTGGGCGGCCACATGGCGAACACGGGGTTGCTCGATTCTACCGCTTGCTTGTAGTAGTACATGTGGCACACGATGGGAGGGATGACGCTGTTCAAGTCAGCATGCTGGGGGATAGGGATGGCCGTGCAGAGACGTACAAGATGCGGCAGCCAAATACGCCAATCACCATGATCTTCTTGGAGATGGACGTCTTCAGCTTGAGGAACATCTCTGTGAGGATGGCTGTGAGGGAGAGATCGGTCAGAATGTTGAGACCGTCGACGTAGATCCAGAAAGCGGTCTGTGGAGTGTTAGTGAAGTCAAGGGATATCTTCTCAAGCAAGCAAAGACAACAGTACCCTGTTGGAGCACTTCCCACCGTCAACATAGTCCCACGGCTCAGGGAGGGCACATTGGAAGAAGGACGTCACAATCGTAGACAGCGCCCAGAGGCCGATGGCAATCTCGGTGATCATGATCCATCTCCTGCGCTCTCTAGGCGCCATGACCCAGATACTTCTCGTCGCGGACAATTTCGCAAACAGAAGAGCCGCAATGTAGAGTGCGTCGGAGGCATAGTGGCTTTTGAGGATGTACGAGACTTGATCCGAGGTCAGTCCATCGCGTTTGCCCAGGCCGTTGGCGCCCTGAGCGATCACAAGAGCTGACTGGACGACAGCGAAAGCCTGCCAGCAAACAGATCAGTCTCCCGCTGTTCAGGTCTGGGTGGGCATACGTACCGTTGCCGTGATGACGAGAAAATCGTCGGCCTTGAGCCTTGCAATAGTGATAGTCCTCGTCGCGATGCGCACCGTGGCTGCCAGCAGCGCAATGACGATGAGCAAGGCGGCCAGCGCCCGGATCAGGGGCGCCTTGTTGTCTGGCGTCTCGTGCTCGCGGGCCACGAGCATGGCGGCCGGGAGGGAACGAAGGTCCATGTTGCCTCTATCGTCTTGTGGAGTACATGAGTGCGTAGGAACGATTTCAGTTATCAACTTTTCAAGGGCATGTAAACGTGTAATATCGGGTGCCCAAGCCGTTTATGACTATCACTGGGGAAGGGACTGGCAGCAGAGCCTGACGACTGGATGTTGGGTCTGGCATATACGAAGGTATAATTAGTCTCGACCGGAACTTATCGAATCGCATTGTCCAGCCTGCGACAGCGAGCAGGCCCGAGGCCAGAATCAGATCATACTACGTAAGTTAGATGGTACGAATGAGAGTGATTGTCCATGGATCCTGGCCTCGCTGTGCATTAACGTCGCGTCTCGTCCGTCCTAATTAGCAGCTAAAGGTCGACCGGTCGGCAGGATTCATCTCCCCAGGCCGACGAATCCACGATCCTTCACATGTACGGACCAACTTGTCTTGGAAGCTTCCTTTTGCTGGAGACAAACTCTAAACACCCGCCCGGGCGATCTTGGCCCCTGTCGTCCGCGGACTCCTGGTCGAGAGTTGTGGGACGGCGTCGACGGACAGGGACGGGACATGGATCAGGGGTCAGGGGTGAAGGGTCGGGGGGACGCGCGCTCGACACCCGCCTACCGAGAATTGGCACGGCTGTCGTGAGTTGCGCTTCTGGAAGGCTAGACTGGATGCTACCGTGCCTTCGTAAAGGCCCCTTGGAACCTTGACGTGGACGACCATTGGTCTGCACGGAGGACATTTATGCCACGACGACCAACAGCAACGACACCAGGACTGCATGTATGTCCCATGTACATGTGCTGTACGTCCTGGCGTCCATTGCGCGTTCCATCAATCCTCCGTCTGTCCGCCCGTCCACAGGGAACTTTGTCTGCAACGCTCCCTATATGTAATTTCCTGTACGAATCTGCAAACGGTCGACTCAATCTGCGCGTCGTGCGGGCAAAGGCGCCATTCAAGGTTGGTCTCGACAACTGGATGAGATGGTGCCGTTGTCGAATCAATGCACTGTTCTTGCTTCCACGCATCATGGCACGTTGGATGTGTCCGAGCATGCCACTGGCACTGATGAGCAACCCCCACGCTCATCACATCAGCAGGTCGCACTCTGAATCACAGACATAGATGACCACAATTAGCCAAGGTGGCAGCGAGCGAAAAGACGCCCTCGTCGTAGTGTACCTGCATGCAACCTTCTTCGACATTGCCAGCTGTTGTTTAATCCGAGGCGTACGCGCAAAGAGATCTGATGGACACTCCACAAACTCCAAGCTGGAGCGACCTTAGGATCCTCGCACACAAGGGCCCAGCCATCAACATTGTCCCAGACTCGACTAATGCTGTGGACAACAGCCTCACTTCAAAAGGTGTCCCTGATGCTGCGGCCGCCAGTGAAGGGGGCGGCATTGACCTGGGAGTTGAGCCCGTAACGAGCATAGCCACCCGATGCGACCTCATCTCGGCCCTGGCGGGAAAGGACATTGACTATGTTCGAATATGCTGGTTCGACATGACGAGCACGCTGCGTGCCCGGCTGGTGCCTACACATCGCGCACTTTTTCTTCTCCAACAATCCCGCGCACGCCAAGGGCCGCTCGAGACTGCGCTGAAAGTGAGCATCGCAACAGCAGCATTGTCCATCCTTCAGAATGACCACATGGTCAATGTGGCGGGCGCGTCACCCGTGGGAGAGTGGGATCTCTGTGCCGACCTCACTTCCCTCCGGCTGGGCCCACGGAACCGACACGCGATGCTCATGGGAAACTTTCGCGAGAAGAATGGAGAGCCCGTCCCATTATGTCCACGCACGCTTCTGGAAGACACTATGCGTCGTGCGTCGCAGCGTGGCCTCTCCGTCCTCCTAGGCTTTGAGATTGAGTTTGTGCTTCTCGAGCGCAAGGGTCCGCGACAGTACGACAGGCTTTCGTCGGATGCCCATGCTTGGTGTTCCTTTGGTGCTACAGATACCCAAGATTCTGCCGGTGCCGTCATTGAAGAAGCGGTCGCCTCGTTGGCACGAGCTGGTGTGTTGGTTGAGCTAGTCCATGCCGAGAGTGCTTTTGGGCAGTTTGAGATCGTTCTACCCCCAAAACCGGCGCTTGCGGCTGTCGATACCCTCATCTACGCGCGAGCCATTCTTTCGACAACCGCCACTGCCCATGGATACAAGATGACACTGCATCCCAAGCCATTCCCAGATACAGCGGGCACGGCAGCGCACGCGCACATGTCGCTCAAGGGGGTGGATGGGAAGCAAGCCAATGATGCCCAAGTCTATGAGCCTTTCTACGCAGGTATACTGAGCCACCTGCAAAGTATCATGGCCTTTACCTGCGCCAGCCCAAGCAGCTATGCCAGAGTTGTGGATGGCTGCTGGGCGGGCGGCACCTGGGTGACGTGGGGATGCCATAACCGCGAGACCCCCTTGCGCAAGGTGGACGGGAGTCATTGGGAGGTTCGATGCATGGACGGGCTGGCGAACCCATATCTGGCAATGGCCGCGATCATAGCCTCGGGTATCGATGGTATCGTCTCCAAGACACCAATGACCTGGAGGGAGTGCACGGATGATCCAGCGGTTTTGTCCGAGGCGCAGAGGTCCAAGTTGAATATCCGCGAGCGACTTCCCACGACGCTAGAGGGGGCTCTCTTCTCATTGGAGGGGGACGAAGAGCTTGCCAACTCTATGTTGGGCCAGGCGGTGGTGAAGCGTTATGTTGCTATCAAGAAAGGCGAGATTGAGATGCTGGAGGGCATGAAGCCTGGTGAGCAGCGCCAATGGATCATCGAGAGGTATTGACGATGGGAGCTCAAATTCCATACAATGCCTGTATTTTTTGATGCTGCGCTGGCATCCGTCAAGCTTTGACGACGACGTGATTCATCATATTGTTTTGGTGACCATTGTCGAGGTCGTGTAGAATCAAGATTCGAGAATCAAGAGTCAAGGCTGCGCGTCGCCAACATGGTCTAGGGTACGTCAACCACATCAGGCTGATTAGATCGATCACCGGAGCCAAGTCCGCGCAGCGCTGGACACGTCAACTCGCATTGCGCATCGATATTGAGCTGAAAGCTGGCTCCGACCGAAGCGAATCATTATCTCCATTTTTCCCCAGCCTTGGAGGCTTGGAGCACGCTTTGATGCGGCATTGCAGCAAATGGACCCATCGCAGTTGATGCGGCATTTGTCAGCTGGCGCCAAAGGGCGCGCCAGACAACTATCGTGAGCCGTAGCCCAAACATCAAGTGGGAGGAAAAGGCTGGGTCCCAGCCCCAAAGTGGAGGCTCAGCTGAAGACTTTGGGGATACAAGAAGGAGGACACGCCGTCGACGTGAACGTGGGCAGCAGTCCTCCAGACACACTCACCTCATACCCGTAACCCAACGCCAACATGACATACACCCTCTACATCGGCAACAAGCGCTACTCGTCCTGGTCCATGCGACCATGGGTCCTGCTCAAGGCGCTCGACATCCCCTTCACTGAGAAGCTGTACATGTTCAAGGCAGGCCTCCGCCAGCCCGAGTTCCTCCAGTTCTCGCCCTCGGGAAAAGTGCCCTGCCTCCACCACGACGACACGTCCATCGTCGTCTGGGACTCGCTCGCCATCTGCGAGTACGTCGCCGAGAGCCATCCCGCCGCCTGGCCCGCCGACGCAGCGGCGCGCGCCTTTGCTCGGTCTGCTGCGGCTGAGATGCACTCCTCCTTCCAGGCCATCCGTGACGAGTGCTCCATGAACGTCGCGCTGCGCATTGAGCTTGGGACACCTGGTGAGGCTCTGCAGAGGGACCTGGACCGCTTGACCGCGCTCTTCACGGAAGGACTTGAAAAGTTCAAGGGGCCGTTCTTGGCGGGGGAGACGTTTACCGTGGCCGACGCCATGTATGCGCCCCTTGCGTCCCGGTGCAAGACGTATGGTATTGAGCTGGATGGTGCCGCGGGCGAGTACATGCAGCGCTTGTTCGATCACCCGGCCGTGCAGGCGTGGGTGCAGGAGGGCATTGCTGAGAATGAGATTGAGCCATACCACGAGGAGGACTGCAGGCGAGGGCGCAAGGTTCTTCAAGATCTTACCAAGCAGTAGCCTGGTCTGCTTGCTGGAGTGGACAAGTCGTCGTCAGGGAGTCGGCAATACTGTACGCAAATGGCAAACGTCTAGACATATAACGCTGCGTGTTCAAGTCGGAAACATTGACGTTTGCTGCTTCATTCGATCCTTCGAGATAAGCAGCGGTGTCGTGACAAAGTGTCGCCATGCAGTGCTTGCCGGGGGGGGGGGGGGGGGGGGGGGGGCAAAAAAAAAAAAAAATAATAAAATAATAAAAAAAAAAGGTTGGTATTTGAAAAACGGCACCGGGGCGCAGGTGGAGAAAAAAGATTTGCAAAATTG